CACCTGCCACTGCCTCTGAAGTTCCTACAGCGCTCGTGCCTTCTCCACACACGCCAGAGACTCTGGGGTTAAGAGAGGCACCCTTGGTGTCTGATATTCTCTTGTTTTCCAGCACTGACTATAATTAACCACGTTACGGAATCCCCTCAAGTTCCATTCTCAGTCTAGCCAGGAAAAGAAGTTAAGAGATCATGAAAAGTGACTCTTGGGGCACGAAGCTGCTTGAGAGGACAGAACCCTGCAAAGTGAATTGTCCTGGATTCTCAGGAAAGGCAACTTAGTCAGCAGCCAACCTTTAAGCTAGGACAGGGCTGCTCCGCTGCTGCTCTGTATGCACTTTAGTTGGTTCTAGGCTTGGAAGAGAGTGTTGTGGGCTCATCTGTTCACATGGGCAAAAAAAGGTGACCGCATGGGGCAAGCGAGTGGGAAACATGAATCTCATTAAGCAGGACATCTGTTTCAAATAAATAGTAGGGTGAGTTTGGGAACCATGCAATAAGACAGAAGGCAAGGAGAGATTCTTGAAGCATCGCTATGGTAGGTCAAATTTCCCCTCTACCCACCAAAAGCAATACAAATGGTCTAGCTTTTGCAGTCAAAGTGGATGAGCCAAAATACAGCTCATGGCTTACAATAGTGCTTTTTCGTCTGTTTTTCAGTTAGAATATTTGCTTGGCGTACATAGATTCAGTTCTGGCAGTTGCAGGTAATAAAATGAAAAAGTCGTCTTTTTTTTTCTTTTAGGGGGGAGGTAGGGAGAGACAGAAGCATAGACATAAAGAAATTGAAGGAAACATTCTTGAAGGCAAGTATTTGAAAGGAGTAGCACCCCCCCAAAAAAAGAGGACAATTGGTCATGCAACTTCACCTCCTGTTACCTCCTTGAGTCCTTTAAACTTCAATTTCTACCTTCCTTTGGAATTTGAAGTGAGAACAAGGATGCAAAGCTGATGGAAAAGTAACACTGCATACTGCTATGGAGGAGTTAAGATACTGTACACAGTGACACGCCAACAAAAAACAACAGCAACAATAAAAATGATTTCAAAACAAGGTTTGTTCAGATCTCTTGTTTGGTAGAAGGGTAAAAGAATATTTTTTAAAATGCCTTTGCTAAGACAGAGAATCATCGATTTACAGCCTATTTTCTTGCTTAAAGCAACAGAAGTTTGAGTAAGACATCATTGTGCAGAGCTGTAGCAAAGCAGTCTTTATCAAATCCCAACTTTCTGATACATCACTCTTACTTAATTTTGAGATTATGCTTTCAGTCATGCTGTGGCATGTCCATCTCTTTAATTTTTTGAAATGAGGTATTTAATATTTTTTAAAGGTATTATTTCTAAAGGATAGTACTAAATCTCAAAAACGTAAAATCAGAAACCAATGACTCTGTGATGAGATTTTAAAGAAAAAAAGTGTGCCAAGAGTTTTTTTGTTTTCCTATTTTGTTGTTTATTCCTACTTTTCTGATAATATATGACCTCACTTAATAGGCATGTTAGCAAGTTAAGTAACTTTTTTTGCAACAGCATATGGTACTAAAACTATCTTTTAGTTTAAATTCTTAAAAAACAAAAAACTCCAGGAGTGTAAAACTACATTAAAATGCATATTCTATGACCAAATACCTGGAAATGTGACTGTAAATGCCATTCTGTATTACCTGGTAGTTTACTTGTAAAATATGCTGCCAGTTTAATACCTCTACTTTCTTAAGTCCCATTTCCAATCTAAATTTGATACACAGACTTTAGACTCATAGTTCCGTATACTTAGTTACCCTGTCTTTTTTCCCACTTATTGACAATGATCATACACCAATAAGCGTTTCATTTTGAAAATTCCAGGCACTTAATCTAATTTACATTTATAGGACTCATTTCACTCTTACTAAATTCATATAGAACCTCTTCAGAAGTGAAATATAAGAAATGTTAAAGGGCCACAGAAATAGACATTAAAAAAAGGACAAGAAAAAGTAAAAGGGTGAAGTTCTGTTACGAATTTTTATTTCACATAAAGTGCTAAGGGACCTTTACTAATCACATACGATCCAACCTACAGTTTTATAGCTTCTCCAAATATATGCCTAAAGTGCTGAAAATGAATCTATGTATCAATTGAAGACAGCACTTTCCAAAATATTTTCTGCAGGCTCACTCTCCCCAAGATGTTAATAGGAAAAAAAAAAAAGTGCCATGGTCAAATAACTTTGGGAAACATCACCTATCAAAGCAGCCTCTTAAAGATTCACAGTGAATGTTAGCATATTAAAAACTTAGAAAGGTCCAGTGATTAAGAAACTTTTCCAAAAGTGTTAAGCCAGCATTTTGCAAACTTTAGTTACTAAGGCAAGCTCTTTCACAGAACACCTGTTAACATATTGGATTTAGTGTTACAAGGAAAACAACTTGGGAAACATCTGAAAATAAAGCAGAATAAAATATCTGCAAAACAAACAAAAAAGAGACTGTGAAAAAGTTTACTAGTTTTCAAGAATTTTTCTTATCAGTTCAGTGTTTGGATTCTGGAGCAGAACATATCTGACTGGAATACTGTCTCTATCATTATAATTCTTTCAACGTAAGCAAGTCAGTTAGTTGTCCGGCCTCAGTACTCTCCTCTCTAAAATGGACTTAGTAATTTAATACCAAACTCATAGTGGTAGATTACTGTCACAAAAGGACCCAGGCCAGTAGTGGGCACACAGTGGTGGTGATGATGATGATGAGGATAATGATGAAGGTCACAGTCACATATGGAATTCCAAAAGAATTTTCCTCAGTAGCTAATTATCCCCATTCTCCTCCCCCATTAAATTATATAGAAAAATTAACTCATCTTTTAATTTGTCAAGCAACAAATAAACACTAAATATAGAATTTTTATTATTCCTGTAATTACTGAGTAATATTTATCAATAAACTAGTTATAGGAAAAGTCAGATAATTTGATCAAGTTACACTCAGTACTATTATTTTTTAAATTTTACATTTAAAAACTGTATTTTGCATTTCAAAGACTTTATTTTCTTTAATATCCAAAATTCTCCTGAATTAAAATCTCAGCCTTGTGAGATCTAAAGCAGACAGTGTAGTCAAGCCCACCTGGACTTGTGACTCGCAGAGCTGTGACCTCATAAATTGGTGTTTGAAACCACTAAATTTCTGATAACTTGTTAATCAACCAACCAGGGAAAAGTAATACAGTAAGTCACTATCATTATTCCCTTTTTAGAGAAAAGGAATGAGGCACAGATAGGTTAGGTAAGTTGCCTGTGGTCTCAAGTTAATGTCAGTCCGAATCCAGAAACCACTTCACTCTACCAGCAACAATAATGGGGGGCGGGGGGCAGCTGTATGCCAAGCACTATGCACTGTCACATACATTGCTTCATTAAATCATCCCAACAACCTTGATGAAGTACATATTATTATTATTTCCATTTAACAGTTGAGGAAACCAGGGATCAAAGCATTCAAGTAATTTGCCCAAGATTAAGGCAGCAGTGGGGGATGGAGCCAGAAGCTAGAATCTGAGTCCTGGCTTGATTCCAGGAGCAGTTATCATAACCATTCTGTTGTGGCATCTATTTTGTCAGTGGTCTAACTTATTTCATTTACTTATATTTTCAATTTAAGTGGCTATAACTGTAATTGTCTTTTTTTTTTAAGTACAATCTGCATGCTCTCTGGTCTTGATTTATCATTTTACAGGATACTTTGCTTGAATGTAGAATTCCCAGTATATTTTAAAGTTGTCTAAAACATTTGCATAACTCAAACTCATCACACTTTTTTTTCCATCACTCTCCATAAACACCAAGAAAATTCTTTCCTCCAACTCTCTGGCCATGCTGTTATCCCCATCTGAAAAGATCTCTTTTAAATTCTACTAGCTAAATTCCTGTCTCCTCATAAGACCTCCCAAATTATTCCAGCACCACAGAACCATGCTTTCTTAGAATCAATACTTCTTATTTTTCTCTAGTTGTTTCATTGGCGTCAGCCTAATCTTTCCAAATATAAGCGATTCCTGCTGCAAAGGTAACTGCATGTCTTGGATATAGATGAATATTACTTTTTTGCCCCCAATTTTTTTATTTTTGTACAATTTTTAAAGGTTATTTTCCAGTTATAGTTATTACAACATATTCAGTCTTTCCACTATGAACACTAAGGAAAAATTCATTTCTAAAA